ACAGCATCTTTTTATCTTGCCCATGGGTGGGTCAAATAATACAATTCATTTTCTATGTCTCTTTCTTTTAATTATTGCCAGCATCGTTTCAGCTGCTTTTGTTAAAAAGTGATTGTTGACCTTATTTTCTCCTTTGACACTATCTTTTCATTTCTCATGGGTTATATCTTATTATATTCCAGACTCTTTAAATAAGTCATTCTGAAACAATTTTCCATGAATAAATTATTTTTGGTAAGAAATAATATTGTGAGTCTTAAAGAAAGACTATACAATAAAATGAATTTAGTAAACTTTTGTCTGTCTGTAGAGCTGATTTTTTTTTCTCATAACAGTAGTTACAAAATCATAAATCATCAGAGCTAGAGAAGCCATGGAGTAGATAAAGGGGGCTAAGTATAAGAATTCTGGCAGCTTGATGTGGTCATAATTCATGTTCGGTGTTGAAGAGGAAACTTGGCCAGGGAGACATTAGTCATCAGTGGGGAGTGTGGAAAACTGAAGGGCAGAGGCCCTGCATGAAGGGAAAGATGATCCATGGGAGAAAGTAGAGGTTCTCTTTCAAGACCTTCTGTTTTGTTTTTTAATGTTTATTCATTTATTTTTTTAAATTTTTAACGATTTATTTAAGAGAGAGAGAGAGAGAGAGACAGCACGAGAAGGGGAGGGTCAGAGAGAGGGGTAGACACGGAATCCGAAACAGGCTCCAGGCTCTAAGCTGGATATCAGCACAAAGCCCGATGCGGAGCTTGAACCCATGAACTGCAAGATCATGACCTAAGCCGAAGTTGGACACCCAACTGACCGAGCCACCCAGGTGCTCCTAATGTTTATTCATTTTTGAGAGACAGAGAGACTGAGCACAAGTAGGGGTGGGGCAGAGAGAGAGGGAGACATAGAATCCAAAGCAGACTCTGAGCTCTTAGCACAGAGCCTGATGTGGGGCTCAAACTCACCAACTGTGAGATCATGACCTGAGCTGAAGTCGGAAGCTTAACCGACTGAGCCACCCAGGTGCCTCTCTTCTGATTTTTCAAGAGAAGTAGAAATCTAAATGTTTATTTGAAGTTTACTGATCTTATCAATGTCGCCTCAAATATTTAAACAATACTACTCATAGTTGTTATGGGTTAAATTATGCCCCCTAAAAAGATATGTTGAAGTCCTAACTCTAGTACCTTGGATGTAACCGTATTTCAAAATAGGATTTCTGCAGATGTAATCAAGTTAAGAGGAGCTCATCAGGGTGGGCCCAAATATGGTATGACTGGTGTCTAATTATACCTAATATGGTATAATGAAGCACACAGGGCTAAGGCCATTTGAAGGAGGCAGAGATTGTAATGGTGCATCTACAAATCAAGGGATGGCAAGGATTGGCAGCTGTCATCAGAAGCCAGCAAGAGAGGCACGAGACAGATTCTCCTCGGCAGTCCTCAGATGCTCCCTCAATCTTGTTGACTTCTAGCCACCAGAATCCTAAGACATCCAATTTCTGTTGTTTTTAAGCCATACAATTTGTGGCACTTTGTTACAAAACCCCTCAGAAATTAATAAAGAGTGGAAAAATATGCCTGTGAGCTTTATATGTAGTCTACTACTAGGTAATATTAAGTAATATTGTTAAGATTTTTAAAAACACATGGAATTTGTATAGGTGCCTGGGTGGCTCAGTTGGTTAAGCATCTGACTCTTGACTTCATCTCAGGTCCCGATCTCAGGGTCATGAGTTGAAACCTTGTGTTGGGCTCCATGTTGGGCATGAAGCCTACTTAAACAACAACAACAAAAACCAAACATACAAGAAATTTGTAAAAAATACTTCTTGGTAGCTATGCTTTTCCGGATCAAGGCAAGTTACTTCCTGTCATTATCAACATCGCCATTTTCATTGCCATCATGGCCTGACAGATGACCAAAAATTAAGCATTTAAATTTATTCCCTCAGTATATACTAGGCAGTTACCAGGTACCAGCTACTGGACCCAGTACAAGGAATAAAACTGGAAGAACTGTCCTTTCCCTGAAGAAACGCACCACTATCCCTGTGATGACAGAGTGGTGCAGATTCTTACCAGGCAACAGGTCAGGAAGACCATCCAATTGTGCTGTGCATAATTGAATTGTGCAGGAGTAAGACATAGCTGATTGGTCTTAAAACTCGGTGTGTAGCAGAGCTGAGATCCCAACCCAGGACCTCTGACCCAAATCTCGTTTTACCTCCCCACACTACTTTGGTTTTCTTCATTTGCAAAAGTGAGGTTCGTACTCCTCCTTCAAGCTTTGGTGAAGATTAAATAAGACATATGAAACGCATTGGCCCACTGCCGGGCCACAGCAGAAGTGACTAGTGCCCACCAAATTCTGGTTCTCCTACCTGTCCTGGATGTTTGGGAGATTGTATTTCCCAGACTCCCTGCACTTAGGTGTGTTGCAGAATCTGGTCTGGATCACCTGGTGGAAGGGACAAGCGGCATCTGGAGATCTCGGAAGGTAGGAGGTTTATTTTACATGGGTGAGCTCAGAGGAGATCCTCCTCCAGAGGTCTGAGCCCAGAGCATTAGCAGAGGGAACAATTTATAGCCTGTGACTTCCGCACCCCTCACTAACTAGGGACAGGTGTTTCCTATTAGTCCTATTAGTCAGCTATCTTACAACAGGTTTTCCCTATCAGGTGCAGCCATGTGACTAACTGTGGCCAGTGGGTCGCAGCACATACGAGCCTGTATGCCGTCTCCCATGTGCTCTTCCCCTGACTCTAGGAGCCGGGAGACCATGTGTCCCAGATGGTGGAGCTGCAGTGATGAAGTATCTGTGAGCTTGGGTCTCTGAGCAACTATCAGAACAGGACCTCTGCCAACCCACGATGGAAATAAATCTTTGTTTTGTTCAACTACTGGGACTTGAAAGTAATTTTTGTACAGGAATGTATCTTAGTCCATCCTGACCAAAGTACTGAGTACCAGTTCATAATACATGCTCCACAAATTTTCTTCTTTCTGTTACAATAATTTAGGTCACAGGGTGACAGCAATGAGACTTATATTAAAAAATATTAAAATTTAGGGCATGTATTACCTAGCTGAATTTAATATGTTCTTATTACAGATACTGAGACAAACCAAAAACAGCTTATGATAGTTAAGAAAGTGCATTGTAAGATGAGCTGAAATGAAAAATCCATTTGCTGTCAGAAAAAAAAGCCACCTCTCATTAAAGATCACTTCTCTCATTCCTCCAAACCAAATTATTTAAGTTTAAAAATAGCAAAAATACCTTATGAAAAAAACATATAAATGCTAAAAATCCCAGCTTGAGGCTTCAGCCACTATTCTTAACATACCTTCAGCGGGTTTTGACTGTCATTACTACAAATAGAAGACTTCCAGGAAGGAATTATTCAACAAAAAGAAGTCTTTTATTTTCTCTACAAATTTGGGACATGAGGAGAAAGATGAGAGTAAATATAATTCCAAGTTTTCCGCTCAAACATCTAAATGCTTGTGTCTAGCATTCAACGTCTTGATGATATGTTCTCATTTGCTAACTAACCGCATTTCCCACTTTTTTTCCTCCTAACATAGAGTCCATTTTAATCAGTCTCCTCAAAATCCACAAACAAGCCATATTCATCCTTTATTTATGCCTTTTATCCATTTGCCTCAAATGCCCTTCTCTCTTACTTGAAGAATGAGCTCTAGGTCCACTTCCTGTAGTGGTGTTTTGTCCTCTAAGATTCAATGCTTTTTTGATGCTTTTTTGTGTATTTTATTTTATTTGCCATTTTTTAATTTTACTATTTACATATATATAATATTATGTAATACATATTATGTATATATATATATAAAGAGAGAGATAACGGACATATAACATTATATTAGTTTCAGGTATACTATATAATGATCCAATATACGTATGTATTGTGAAATGATCACCACAATAAGTCTAGTTAACATCCATTGATACTTTTTTATGCCTACGAATTTTGTCTCTTGTCTGGACTATAAGTTCTCCAAGGACAGCAATGACTTTTTTACAGGTCACTGCTGTGTCTCTACAGCGCTGACACAGTACTGAGCACACCATCAGCAGTTGACTGCTGATGTCAACTCCCGGTTGACTGGTTTGTGAGTGTGTGTGGAATAGGTGGGTAATGCAGTCTGATAAGGAAGAACAGAAAATTGAAGATATTCCAGAAGAAGGACTCATGACTGAAGTTGAAATTGGTATTTGGAAATGGGAGGTGGGGGACTCAAATATCTGTAGTTTAATTTTCCAGCTGAGGATTACCAATTAGTGGCCATTTGACAGTAGGCTTACCACAACTGTCCCATAGGGAATAAAACCCTTAAAACTTCCCTACTTGGGAATAACTCTAAATGGCTGGAGAAAGGCTCTAAAATGATGCTGTTCACATTTAAACATGAGGCATTGCATTCGCTGCCTCCACTGTAAGAAGCAGATATATGATCACTGGGTACACTCTATTATGCCATTTCACCCAAACTGTCACTTCAGTAATACCTATAGCACAAGATGTTTTATGTAACAAGAGGGAGTTTCAGTTAGCCAATAATTGTGTGATACATACTCATGGGAAATGTGTTAGCACCAGTGAATACAAGTATTTAAGGTGTTTGGAGAGGTTTCTCTCAGCTGCCTAGTTGTGTACTATGCTATCCTGTAACTGTTAGGATTGTAGTTTTCAGATACATTATGTTAAACTAAGTGTCGCATTTCTAAAAAGGTGGCATTCCTAAAAAGGAAAGGTTACACCACAGACAATGCCAAGAACTGAGCTGCTTGAATGGAAGTAGAGGAGGGAGGGATTGAAGTAGCTGTTAAAGTGAGCTCAGCTTGTTCATTTGATATGTATTTCTTGAATGCTAGGCATTGTTCTAGGCACTGATGGGCTACAGGCGATCAAGGCAGACTTGTCCTCTTTTATTTCATTTGGGGCAGTAAACAAATACAAATGAATAAATGATCAAGACGGATTCAGACAGTGGTAAGTACAATGAAAGAAATACAATAGGATGACGTAACATAGTAAGGAAAGGGGTGGTAGAAAAGATTATCTGGGGAGATGACATGCAGCAGAGGCCTAGGTGACACAAGGGAGTAGCTTTACCCCAAGGCAGGGAAAGACTGTGTCAGGAGAAAGCTGTAGGCCGGAGTGAGCTAGTATGTTTGTGTTTGAGGATGGTAGGAAGGCCAGCACGATGGAAGCATGACAAAGAGGTAACGTGGGATATGACGAGACAGGAAAGACTGGATGGATGAGACCTGTGGATCAAGAGAAGGAGTTCAGAGCTGAACCTGATTGCACACCGGGCCCTCCATTCCTGCGGAACTGCACATGTTCTTCTCCCGTCACCCACCTGTTCCTAGGTGGCAGCTTCAGGTCCACATTCTTCTTTCTCTCACTCTACCTGCTGTTCTGAGGAATCCGCCATCTTTCATGCGGGAAGACTTGATGTCTTTGAGGGATTATTCGAAGAAAATACATACCACGTGGCACATTAGCCCTTTCTCAAAACGTATAACTGTCCCTTATGTGTGGCTATTTCTCAACTAATAGTGTAGTAGGTATGAAAGTAAAATCTAAATATGGAAGCTTTATTTCCTCTCTTAAGGGGTTGGTGCCAAGACCAAATTATCAAAGTGACAGAGTACCTGGGGCCCTTAATACTTTTAGGGGCTCATACAAATGTTTTAGTTTATCTTAAAATCAAAAGAAAAAAAATAGGGGCACCTGGGTGGCTCAGTCGGTTAAGCGTCCGACTTCGGCTCAGGTCATGATCTCACAGTTCGTGGGTTCGAGCCCCGCATCAGGCTCTGTGCTGACAGCTAGCTCAGAGTCTGGAGCCTGTTTCGGATTCTGTGTCTCCCTCTCTCTCTGACCCTCCCCTGCTCACGCTGTCTGTCTCTCTCAGAAATAAATAAAACATAAAAAATTAAAAAAATAAATTTTAGAGAAAATAACATAATGATAATATATTCATCTTTATACCAAAACAGTGATAGAATTTAAGTATTTCTTATGGAAGAAGAGGCCCATGAAGACAGAAGAGTGTAGGGCTCATGAATGTAATAATATGGCTCTGGCTGATACTTACAGGGTAACAGACATTAAGGTACTCCTTAATCTTCAATATAATTATTACTCTGACAGAAAAACATTTTATTTTGTTCATTCTAGTTTATTGACTTAGTGAACTCTAAACTGCTTGTAAACTATTGATTTAGTAAACTCTAAACTATTAGTAAACCCCTAAGAGTGAAAAAAATTTTGTGTATCCCATAGATATATATTAATCTGTAAAATATGTATGAATCTACTAATGTACTATTATATTGTATGAAATGCAACATATACATAGTTATGTAAATAGATAAAGGGCTAGATTAGAGATTAAATAATGATTAAATAATTCTTAAAGTTATTAATGATATATAAAATGTTTGGTTTTAATAAACAAAATATTAAGATACTGATAGTTGTTTTTAGTGAAAACAATGTATTAATTTCTATGAAATTCTTATTTTTACATTTAGTGATCTGAGAGTGAAAATTTCAGCTTTTTAATTAATTAATTTTTATTTTAGAGAGAGAGAGAGCAAGAGTAGCAGAGACAGGCAGAAAAAGAGAGAATCCTAAGGAGGCTCCACACTCAGCAAGGAGCCTGACATAAGGCTCTATCCCATGACCCTGGGATCATGCCCTGAGCTGAAATTAAGACTCGGCTTCTTAACAGACTGAGCCACCCAGGTGCCCCAAATTTCAGCTTTTTTTAAAACCTGGTTTTAAGGGCTAACACAGGTGAAAAAGATACTCCAGAAAAAATCTGTATATTCCAATGGAATAAGTACATCAAGGGAAGTACTTAGGAAACTCTGATCCTCGTTTTTCAGTCTCATCTGCCAATTATGCAAACATTCTGGTGAAATTTGGTAACTTGGTGCTTTTTTGGGTACCAATCGTTTGTTTTTGAAACCTCATCAGAAGCTGTTGCACTGTCATACTTTTAGCAATGTGTTCAGGATCCACTGAAATCATCACTTAGGAGATTTTTTAACAGATTATGCAATGTTATTTTTTTAATTAAGAAGCAGTTTTGAGAGTATTTATAGAAGACATATTTACATGTGCTGTTAAAATGTGGCAAAATCACAAACAATGGAAACATCTCTAAAGGTTCATTTTTAAAATGCTTTTGCTATATTAATGAGACACAGTGAATCACTCATTATTAAAACATCAACTTTATCTTGATGGGATGAGTTAAAATATTTCTTTTTTCAAACAATATCTACAACCTATCATTGCAGCAAAGTTCAGCAAATTTGAGCACTTATTTAATTTGTAAATGAAAAACAGGTAAGCTACCTTTTAATTCAACAACCATTTCGAGTACCTCACAAGGAGTAAACTTCTTTGTATGACAAAACGATTTCGTGCTCATTTTCTTCCTCATTACTAAACATTTAAAGGTTATAATATTTAATATAATACATTTTAAAATTCACTTAAGGGAAAAAGGAAATTGCAATACATAGCAAAATACTGATCGGGTACCCAGCAGTGATGGAGGAATTCTCAAAGAGCTTTAAATGATACAACATACTCTCCGTATACCTTACACCCAGTGTATGATCCATGCCTTCCTGTGTAAATATCTATATTAAAGATTAGGACAGCTTAACTTCTTTTCTATTTTTTTAGACAAGAAATAATTACAAATAGGAGGCTTGATGTTTTCACCTTGTAATATGGATTATTAGACATTGGAGACTACTCTGTTAAATTGCCATTGGGTGTTTCTCATCTTTTTTTTTTTTTTTTTTTTTAATTTTTATTCTAGTTGTCTTCTCCGAACATATTTATCATGACATAGATTTCTTGTCCTATTTTCTGCCAATCAAAATGTTCTTTTAAAATAAATAGGGGTCCCTGGGCGGCTCAGTCGGTTAAGTGTCCGACTTCGGCTCAGGTCATGATCTCACGGTTCCTGGGTTCGAGCCCTGCAATGGGCTCTGTGCTGATGGCTAGCTCAGAGCCTGGAGCCTGCTTCGGATTCTGTGTCTCCCTCTCTCTCTGACTCTCTCCTGCTCAGGCTGCCTCTCTCTCTCTGTCTCTCAGAAATAAATAAAACATTAAAAAATGTTTAAAAAATTAAAAATAAAATAAATAAAGAGATTACAATTTCTAAATAGTCTCTGCATTTATACAGATTCTTCTCAGGGCTTCTTATATTGATTGAAATTTATAACAGAGATTAATTGAAGAAAAATTCTTTCTGCAATTAAAAAGCAATTTGCCAAAGCTTTTATTATTCAAAAAGAACAAGGCTAAATTAGCAAAATATATTCAGAAAGCTATGAAATATGCACATTCTTTTTTTTTTTTTTTTTAAACGTTTTATTTATTTCTAGGAGAGAGAGACAGCGTGAGCAGGGGAGGGCCAGAGAGAGAGGGAGTCACAGACTGAAACAGGCTCCAGGCTCTGAGCTGGCTGTCAGCACAGAGCCCGACGCGGGGCTCGAACCCACGAACCGCGAGATCATGACCTAAGCGAAAGTCGGACGCTTAACCGACTAAGCCACCCAGGCGCCCCTAAATATGCACATTCTTAAGGCTAAGCAAACATGTTTTGATCTTGAATAATAAAGTTATTTTTTTTTACTTTTTTGTTGCCTTCTATAAGAGTATTGCATACTGAAATAGTAGAAATATGTTGTGTTTATCAACCAAAAATATCTGAAGATAGAATAGTATTTCTGTGGCGTTAGCATTATGAAAGGATAAAGAAGCAAATGTTACTTATGTCAAACTGGAAATTTTAAAAAGTAAAATGACATTATCTAACTTACAGAAGATAGGAAACCAGAGAGCAAAGAGGGATTAGCATTTCAGAGACAAAATATTAGAAAAAGAGTACATTAATAGCTGAGATAAGTCATTCAATTGACTATTTTCATTTCAAAGTCTGCTATAACATCAATTGCTAGTAATTCATCTCACATTTGAATCAAAACTTGGCTTAGGACAATATTCCTGAATGTTTTAAGAATTTATTAGGAATCCATTATCCATTATTAGTATTGCCTGTTACTTTATTCAAAACCGTGGGAGAAAGTTTGGGAAAATAAGGCAGTTTTGAAGTAGCATTGTAAAAGAAATTTTTTCAGTAAATGGCCACAAAAAAATTCTATTCAGCTCATCAAATTTGCCTTGGCCTAATCCATATTTACCAGCTTACTTCCTCCTAGCTATTTTCATCATTTTCTATCATTAAACTAAGACAGTAGTTCTCAGTCTTGAAACCAGCAGAAATAACCCCCTGAGGGAAGTAATAACTACTTACCTCTTTGACCGCGCCTCCTCTGTCTACTTTGAGGCTTCTTCTTCCTCCTTCTGCACCCGAAATGTTCCTGAGTGAGGTTAGTTCAAGTCTTTACTCTTTACTTTTCATACCCTTGCCTCTGATAATCTCATCTACCCTATGATTTCAATTATTGCCTCTCTGAGGAAGAATTCTAAATAGTTGACCCTATCTGAGACTTTCCAAGTTACAGGCTCACATTCCAACTTTGTGCTGGACACTTACATTTGGATATACTACAAAACAATACAAATGTAATTATCTACAAAACCAAATGCATGGTCTTCCTACATCATCAGTGTAAATCCTCTGTTTCTGTTAATGCTCAATTTCCCTACCTATGTTGCCTTGAGACTCAGCTCCTTGAATCCTGTCTCCCCTCTTACTGTCCCATCGTCAGTATCATTTCACGCATTACTTTTAATAACGTCATAACTAGTCTCTTCACTTCCAGTCGAGGAACACGTCAACTTGAATCATCATTCTAAAGCATGGCTTTAATCATGTTCTGTATCTTCTTTAAAAACCTTTGTTTCTGACTACTTTTAGAATGATGTTCAGATTCCTTAATCTCATATTCCAGAATTTAATGATGTGTCATACTTTTATAGATCCATTGCCCATCATCCTATAACTTACAGCTTATACACTAAAGTTGAATTTTATTAATGTTCCTTGAGTAGAACATGCAAGACCTTGCTTCTTTACCTTTGCTGATATTGTGTATCCTGTCTCTAGGCTAAAGTACTGAATAACCTTTAAATCCTAGTTCAAATTTAATCTTTTCCAAGAAGCTTTACCTGGTAGCTCCAGCTTAGCTTGTGATCTCTAATTTATTTAGCTTGATTTATTCCTATGGTTTCCATGATGCAATAGAAAGGGTATGGGCTTTGAACTTCTCTACATCAAGGCTCCAAAGTCATTCTTGAGCTTTGTGATAATAGGAAACTTATTTAACTACTTTAATTCTTGGTTTTAACCTCCATAAAATAAGAGTACGACAGCTTACCAAGAAGTTCAAAGGACGTTTGGTGTGATATGATTGATGCCATCAAGAGTGAATCCAATTGGGTAGCTACTTCTCAGTT